TATATATATATATATATATATATACACAAAATATAGTATTTTATTTTGTTACTTGAATTTAACCTCATTTTTTTATTATATGGAGTTTTGTTAGTAGCATTTAAAATTAATGTAAATTAATATTTATTTTGATTGCAGTATGAGTTAAAAAAATATTTAAATACTGGCGACTCACCCTCGCATCGCTCGAGGCTTATCCCTAGGTGATTCTTTAAATTGACATAGCTTTTTTATTTATGAATCGATTGAAATAAAACAAATACTGAATGTTAAATGAAGCTTACCACAATACATTAGTGAAAACCGCATCCAAATCGGTTAAGCCGTTTCTGAGATTAACGCGCACAAACGTACAGATAAACAGACGGAAATTCTGAAAATCATTGTTTTGGGTTGCATTGCGTAAAGAAAACCACTAATAGTTTTTCTCAATTATCTTCCATGTATAGACAGCTCGGATCAGTTACAGTTTTATTATAGGTATGTATAAATTTATCATCTTTTTACTACTTATATTATCATATAGATAATTTATATATAAATGAATTTTCTTGTAGAAGACATTAGACTTGTATTACATACAAGCGACGGTATCAAAATACAGTCATGCGTACCAAGAATTTTGAGAGCCGGCACAAATATCCCGGCGGATATTTGCGTCTGCATTCTCAAGCTTTAGGGGTCTTATGTTCTATTATGTATGATTCCTTTCTTTTGAAAGTCGATCTTCAGTAGAGATTTGGTCCACTTAGGTACTCAATGCAGTGTTTTACCGCATGGATTTATTTGTACATATACTTTTTTATTGTAAACTAATCGTTTGATAGGAAATCTCTGTAAATATTTAATAAAATGAATCATATAGTATAGTTTACATTTAATTACACATATATTAAATGCTATAAATTGCAATAAAATATATTTCAAATATATATTATGTATTTCATCCTCTATGCAAAATATGTGTGAGGGACGACGTTTGTTCGGATCTCAGAATACGATCTATATAACTCCTAATTAGTGCTCCTTTGTCCTCTTATGTTGTACATTATACGGTAAAAACCAAAAGGACAGACTGATATTTACTTATATTTAGGAAATATTTTAGTATCGATCAAATATTTGAATTCATTTATTAAATCAAAAGTGAAATAAAAACTATATATTGTCGCGTAATGGAGAGCGTGTAGCGTCATTATCAGGCGCGGATCCAGAGTTAAATTTTTGGGGGGGGGGGGGGTCATAGGCTGAAATATACATATAATAAAACAGTAATTGAGCAAAATCTTACCACCAAGCGCGGATCTAATTTAATATTGATAATAATGTCTATTTCAATTAGATTTTCCAAAAAATGTTTAATGTACAGATTCGACTTAGTTACAATTTTATTATAATTCGTTGGCTCCTTATTACAAGGTTCTATGTTACAATTTTAGTACTTATTTAGTTATTAATGCTGCAAGGTGTCATTAGCTACAGTTTTGCAGAAACAAACCACTAGATAGCGGCACTATAACTACAAAATATTCAATTTTACATAGTTCTATGTTGTTTTTTTATTCGGTAACAAAATAACGAAGTTCTATGTAAAAATTACTAAACTTCATTAAAATTAACATAGAACCTTGTAATAGTGAGCCAACGATTATGTATAAAGATTTCTGCAAAAACTTTTTGATATTCATGAAACTAGGGGAATATAATCTTCAAAATACATATAATAACCATTTTTTTAAATAGAAATGTTTATCCGTTTATTCCTTCCTTTCTTAGACTTCAAACTTCTCTAAAAAGTATATTCGGCTTTCATTTCATTCATGACCCCCATGACCCCTCCCCTGGATCCGCGCTTGGTCATTGTATCAGAATAATAATTAAAAAGACACGTCTGGAGCATGCTTTACGCATCCTAAGACAGTTGTCAAAACATTTTCGAGAGAGGCGTAGAAATTACTTGAATTTAGACAAGAACAGTTAATTATAAATCGCCGCGTGTAAGAGTGAGAGAGGAACAAAACATTCGAAATGGCTAGAAAGGTTTTGAATTTTCGAATACTAGAATGTTCTTTGTTTATGCATATAAAAAGTCAGTATCAGTTGAATTTCGAAGTTAATTGAAGATTGCGAAAAAGTACGAAAAAAGTGAGAAGTGAAGAAAAATTAAGTGAAGCTATAGTAAAAGTGTGAACATTAGTGACCAGTGACTGATTTTAACCAAAACTGTTTATATACTGTGCTTGTTAGTGAATCTACAAGTAATAAAACATCGATAGTGCAAAAGACTGTTTTAATTTCCGATCCCCGAACTCATAGAACGTAACAATATGTACGTTTTGGGTACAAAGCGAGCTTTTGAAAATTATCACAAAAAATGAGTTCCTAAGCTCCCTTACTTAAATATATGTAGTACCTTATAGAACATGTCACACAATGGGCTAGAATAAAATTCAGCCAATACGGGCGAATTCCGGCGGGAGTTCTGCATGAGTTTCAACGAAAATCTTTATTATTTTGTCCTTGATCTTTACATTTTATCTTACAGGTCTTTGCCTTTGTATAATGTTACAGTATTGCTCAAGAAAACCATTCAATTGAGATATATAAGTTTGATTTATAACACAAAGCCGATATTTTCTGGTAAGGAGTGAATTTTATCGATATCAATTACCAGTAAATATTTGCTATTGTTAGTTATTTGCTTTTGTTACATCACCAGATGGCTTTATGCCAGTAGAAGAATATAATTAAAAACATTTTCAATAGAAGTTCTCTCCTCGCTCATTAATCACCAAGTCTTATGTAAATTCATTCGAATTGAAAATGTTATTTCAGTTGTGACACCGTGGATAAAGCTCAATCGATTTATCATTAACTAGCATTTGACCGATCACTTAAATCTATACGAGTACATATAATAAAATTGTAACTAAGCCGAATTTGTACATTAAATATTTTTTGGAAAATCTTATTGAAATAAACATTAGTATCGATACATAGGCCGAATCTATAGTTTTTAGAATTTTTGTCTGTATGTCTGTCTGTTATCGCATCACAGAAAAACCACTAGAGGGATTTTGATGAAATTTGGTATGGTGATAGCTGGTTACCCGGGTCACCATATATGATACTATTTACCCTGGGAAAATATCCCATTTCTGAGAAAAAATACAAAAATTGCAATGTAAGAGTATACTAATATGTAAAATCTAAGAATTTGGTTTTTGGTCAACTGAACGCGGGCGGAGCCGCGGGCAATGCTAGTATTATGATAAAATTGTGGGACACCGAATTTGATACTTGTGATCACTCCGAAAGATTATATTTACGCAATACACATATTTTGCGTTGACACAGTCTATAGTTGTTTTATGTGTATGTATATGTATACGAATCCGAAGCAAAACGTGCGTAGTTGACCTACATATAAATTCTATTTGGGTTAGTGGACGAGTTTGGTAAAAGCTTGGCTAGTGACAGGCTTTATACGATGGACAGTAAATGTTTAGCTTTAACTCTCTTTAACTGCAAATAGTTTCCGCTTTAGTTTTAAGAAAAGAATTTTCTTTATTAACTATACATAGTTCAGGCTATTTTTGTCAAAACATAAATAAAGAAAATAAAAATGTGATCATAATAAAATAATACGAAGATTTTGTAACTCTTAACAAGAATCAAACACTACAAAATAAATTTTGAAGAGTTTTTCTGCACAAAATATCGCGTTCAATAATTAATACTATATTGAATTCGTAGTTCTTTTGATTTTTGATTTCATGACAACACAGTATATCATTACACACATGGATTTTAAACTTTACAAATTATTTGTTACAAATCACCAAAAGTAGAAATAATACATAACGAGGTCAAAGTTGTACCATTAATATTTTTGTAAAAAAAAATTCTACTTAGAAATGTTAGTAAATTACTATAGAATTGGGCATCAGGCAGTTTAATTTTTCATTTTATAGGTAATAATATGAATTAAAAATGTTGCATGTTTTTGGATTGGTTGAATAGATACAAAGAAATATGTACCTCGGCTACTCATTTAACGCGCGACGATATGAAGTGGGATTCATGTTTATTCAGTGAGGGTACACTCCTACCGGGCGCGTCCCCAGGTGGCGGATAGGGGCATGCCACCCGCTTAGAGGGGCGGGTGGTACCGGAGAAATCCGGCGCGGACCAAATGGCTTGGATGGGGCCGCTCGTCTAGGCCTCGAGCCGAAGACGTTGCGGCCACCGGTGGTGGGACCGCTTGGTCCCACAACCGGATGATGGGTGCCGATTGCGGGACTGTGGTCGCAGGCCCGCATTCGGCGGAGGGGTAGGCCGCGGCGGGAGAGGAGTGCCGGTATTTCGGTGCGCCGTTCTCCCTACCTTCCGCGGCCTAGACGGGGCCGCCACCGTTTGATGGCGGACGCGGTGGGGCTGCAGGGGAAGAGGAGTGTCGGTGTTTCGTTGCCGCTCTCCCTGTCCTCTGCAGCCGATTGGAGGTGGCCCACTTCGGTGGGCGGTGTTTGTGTGGTGTGGGGCTGCTCCGGGTACTTCTCTGATCAGCAGAGTGGACTTAGGAGCGGCCTCACTTTTTGGTTTGTAAGTCTTCCCATAATGGGGTTGTCCCGCTTGGGGCGGCCTCATGGTTGGTGGCTTCGGCCAACCGTCGGGGCGTCGCGGTTGTATGCGAGAGCGATCCCGTGGCGCCCCACATGGCGGCAGAGGGGGAAAGTTGGGTTTTAGTGGGTATGCCGGTCTCATTAGCCGGAGAGTCTCCACATAACCACCCCGGGGGAAGTCGGGTGGTATCCGTAATAGGATTTCCCAACTATAAAAAAAAAAAAAAAAAAGGGTACACTAAAGAGAAACACACAAGGAGACCATATTTAATATTTTTACATATTTTACTGTGTTTCTATAAAAGTTAAATAATTTATTCATTTATTATTATTAATGATGACAAAGAAGTTAACCACATTTTCATTATTTTGTTTCAGGTCAAGAGGCTGAAGAAACAAAAAGCGTAAGTTCGGAAAGGTTTTAATTTGTTAAATAAAAATGGTTGTCCGAAATGAAAATATTTGAACTAATTTTATTTAATCTTTTATAAGTCCAACGAGGGGACAAGATATCTAAAAAATATGTGGGAATGATATAATATTATGATTCTACTACGCTTCGCTCGGGCTCGTTCCTAGGTACGTTTTAACGGTTAGTATGAAATACAAATCTTTGAATTTCTCGGCTTTTCTGTACTATAATGTGCGTGTATTATACATATAAACCTTCCTCTTGAATCACTATCTATTAAAAAAACCGCATCAAAATCCGTTGCGTAGTTTTAAAGATCGAAGCATAAATAGGGACAGACAGACAGCGGGAAGCGAGTTTGTTTTATACTATGTAGTGATGATATTAATGATTACATGTGTCGTTTCAATACATCTTGTCTAAGACCCAAGCTAACATTGTGTTCATTCTGATATTAATTTATGGATGAAATGGAGATGGCTTCTTGTAGTCCACAATATTATACTACGCAATATTATACTACGCAGCATTATTTCACGCAAGTGCAAAAGAATAATCATTGTACATACACATAGTTATATTTTTTGCAAAAATGTTGTTTTTATATGTCAGGACATTAACACACAACACCATCTAGTTCCATGGTAAGCTACGAGGTTTGTGTTATGGATACCAGATAGTTGATACATTATACATATATAACTTTAAATACATACATATTATAAATATAAACAACCATGACTGGAGTACAAATATTCGTGTTCATCATACAAATTAATGCCCTCAGCGGGACTCGAACCCGCGACCGCTGGCGCAGCAAGTAGGGTCAATACAAACTGAGCCAAACGTGTCGCCAGTGTTTGACTTTTACTATATCTTTTGAAACATACAATGTTATAATATTGGTAAAAAATACAAAAGCAAGGCGTTTATTTCGTTTTAAATAAAAGTCATTATTATACTAAATCTCAATCATATTAGGTTCGGTTAGAATTCAGGAAAATTAAAACTTAGACCAAATTGCTATTATTTACACTAATATTAAAACCCTACTGTTTTGTACGGTTTCTTAATATTCAAGGCGAGAACTTTCTGGCTCAAAGTATGCAAATAAGATTTATGACTTTGAAGTCACGCTCTTATAAAATTTACTTATTTTTACGTACATACATAAATATTATGTAGATGTTATTTTCTGCCAAAATTGCTTTTTCTTAAAATTTTTGTGCCTGACAGTGGTGTAAAAGTATTTTAGATATATAAATATGAGCTTACTAGCGACTCGCCCTCGCTTAGTATAAAGTAGCCTATGTCACTCTCCAGCCCTCCAACTATCTCCACACAAAAAATCACGCCAATCTGTCCCTCTGTTTCGACGTGAAAGAAGGACAAACAAACAAACAAACAAACACACTTTCACATTTATAATATTAAAGTATGGATTTCAAGTTGGACATAAATTGAATAAAACATTACTAAACATATGCCCCCTGGCCCTGAGGCTCATATTTTATTTAAAAAAAATTGTGTAGATAATATTTAATAAAATAATTGCATTTAATATACTAACTGAATTAGGTAAATAATTTAAATGTAACTTAATTTAAAAAGTAATATTTCGCGCCTTAGTACCTGCCCTGCCTGTAGTCCGGCATCTCTTGAAACAGACAAGCCATGACGTTGATTTTAATCTTATTTGCTTAAAATATCTTTGTTTAATACATTAAAATAGAAATTGGATTTTATTAGTTCGAATTTTCCCAAGACAGATTTTATTATGTTCAAGGTTTTGTTAAAGACTTCAAGATATATGAATTATTGTTATTTATTTTTGTATCCAGAAAAGTTTTTCTATTTAAATTTATCTACGTACATAACTGTTTAATTACTATTTTCATTAAATAAGCAAGTTGTCATCATTTTAAGAGCTAAAAAATCGATCATAATCTATTGGCGTTTTAGCTTGTCCGCTCCATTAAGCTGATGATGGATTTGGATGAAGACGGCTAATTTACTATCTGGGCGCTAAGTAGGCCGTTTACTTTCAAAACATTCAATGTGCGCCCTTGAAGAAATATTTTTATTCAGAGTACACCTAATTTATAAAGTTTATCATTGATTCCCCGTACTAACTTTCATCCCCATTTTCACCCCCTTAAGGGATGAATTCCGGGATAAAAAGTATCCTATGTCCTTCCCCGGGTCTCAAACTATCTTCTTACCAAATTTCATCTAAGTCGGTTCAGTAGATCCAGAGATGACCCCCTACAATGTCACAAACTCACAAACCCACAAACTTTACCTCTCTATAATATAAGTATAGATAACTGGCGACATATCCTTGCTTCTCTCGGGTGCGTCCTTAGTCCTTAGATGCCTTACAGTAACCTATGTGTAACTTGAGGTCATAGTCTATCTGTGGACTTCATCCACATTTATTTTAGCGTTTCAGCTTGATTAAGAACATACATACAGGCACACTTAAATACATAAAATATAATACTTTCGCGTTTATAATAAGACTTTTTTACTTGTTTTTATTTATAATAATATAATAAATATTTGCACTATTTTATGCAGGATGTTCCCGTGAAGGAATTGGAAAATTTGAAAATGGGTAAGTATCTTTTGTCTTCTGTAGTTAAATAAATAAACTTCGTGCGTAAACATTACATGTTACAATCTTTGACGCTTATAGATAAAAAATTTAAAATTATACCGTCATAATACGTTATTCTAATACAACTATACTCAACCTTTGTTATTGGCCTATCTGAAGTTACATCTCAGAGTTGGCTTCCGTTTTAAATTGTAATTACTCAGAGTTGTTTGATAAGTGTAAACGAAAGTTGTGTGAAAACGATACCAATCTAGAAGTTCTGTTTAAAGGAAAAAGGGAAAACAGACCATGACAAACGTGTTTGTAGCCCCTATAAAAAAAGGTTGAGTATGGCTGTTCTAATATATATGTATATTTTTTAACATTCTATTAGCGTAAACTATTATAGAATATCTGGTTAAGCTTGGCACGAGAACGGTCTCGTTATAATTGAAAAAAGTATTTATTTTATAATATTATAGAAGTATTTTTAAGAGCTTTCCATTTATTTCTCGCTTCGTAGCGTTAATTTAGAAAAGGTCCATCCAATTTTATTGTACAAGATAAAAGCCTTTAGAAAAGCTGTTAACACTTTTTGATTGAGTTTTTTAATGTATTGATGTGATTTTCCACTACATTACACGTGTTTTCAAGTTTTCGGTTCGAGTCAATTTGACAAGGAGTCTAGGATAAGAATAACGTATTATGTAACGAATAACTAGCATGGCCCGCGGCTCCGCACGCGTTCAGATGGCCAAAAACCAACTTCCTAGGTTTTACATGTTCGTATACTCGTACATTGCAGTTTTTGTATTTTTTCTCAGAAATGAGATATTTTCCCGCAATAAAAAGTATTCTATATGTTGACCCGGACAAACAGCTATCATCATACCAAACTTCATCAAAATCTGTCCAGTGGTTTTCTCGTGATGCGGTAACAGACAGACAGACAGACAGACAGACAGACAAAAATTCTAAAAGCTATAGAATCGAACTCTGTATCGATAATAATGTCTATTTCAATTAGATTTTCCAAAAAATATTTAATGTTCGGCTTAGTTACAATTTTATTATTCTATACAGAATTATATTTATTCTATACAGAAGATAAAATAGATAGCTTTCAATCATTTTATTTAGACAGATGATTATTTATTAGAATCTTTTCTTTTTAAAAAACATTAAAAGCATTCGTATTTCGTAGTCTACCAAAATAAGGTTTATGTATGTACATAATAGATAGTAGCTTTAATAAAATCGCATATTCTATAAATATGTATACGTATATGAAAGTATAAGTATCTGCTCCTATAAATGCATTTTGTAGACTATTTACAATGTAAAATTAATACCAGGAAGCTCTTATTATAGCTAAAAGGCAATAGTGTGTAATACGACGTGTTTATGGTGGTTTCCGCTCTGTAAAGTTTTATCGGTATCCAAAAGTCAATAAACACGATAACTCTATCGATTACAAACGAGTTTTTTGATAAATTGTAATAGCCTAAACTAGTTCTTATAATGTATTTTTTTTATATTTTTTTTACTCTTTACACTTGCACTACTTTTGACGTACAAATGTATATGTATGTATGTTCCAATCAGTCTATTACTAATACCTTATTTCAGTCGCCGAACACTACGTTTATAATCCATTTCTACTCACTACCGTTATTCCATAATTTTATTTTCACTTCTCCGCTTCTCTTCTCAGTCTTACTTAATGTCAAAGTCTGACTGATTACTTGACAACCTGTCGACTTTTTACATATTATTTATTTATTGTACTTAAAACAATAAAAGATCCTATTCTTTAACTTTGTAACCATACTGGCATTGCCCGCGGCTCCACCCGCGTTCATAGGACTAAAAATCAAATTCTGAAAAACATATTAGTATATTCTTACAATGCAGTTTTGTATTTTTTCTCAGAAATTAGATATTTTCCCGCGGTAAAAAGTATCCTATATTTGACCCGGATAACCAGCTATCATTATACCAAATTTCATCAAAATCAGTCAGACAGACATACAGACAAAAATTCTAAAAACCATAGATTCGGACTCTGCATCGATAATCATGTCCATTTCAATTAGATTTTCCAAAAAAATATTTAAAGTATAGATTCGACTTAGTTACAATTTTATTATATGTATAGATATTACCGTATCTACGAGTAAACAGTACAGTTTTCTCCTTTGTTTGCCCCCGATTTTCTAGTTATCGATAAAATAATTTTGGAAGCAGTTTATTATATGGATAGGTAAATTCTACTCCTATAATATGTTTTTCTCAAATTTTCAATACTGATTATGGTCAAATTTTGACCACTGGGCGAACTCCATTTAATTATAAATCGTTGAATAATTATAAATAGAGTTATTGTGAAGTATGACTTAAAAAATTAAGAAAATCGAATCCGGTCTGATTCTAAGTAATCTTGAATATCGAGGTTTTAAATCTATATATATATATATATATATATATATATATATATATATATATATATATATATATATATATATATATGTATATATGTATATATATATATATACATAATTAAATTGTAACTAAGCCGAAGCTGTACATTAGATATTTTTTGAAAAAACTTATTGAAATAAACATTATTATCTACACAGAGGGCGAATCTATAGTTTTTAGAATTTTCGTCTGTCTGTCTGTTACCGCATCACAGAAAAACCACTAAAGGGATTTTGATGAAATTTGGTATGGTGATAGCTGGTTATCCGGGTCAACATATAGGATACTTTTTACAGCGGGAAAATATCTCATTTTTGAGGAAAAATACAAAAATGTAATGTAAGAGTATATGGGTGTGTGGGTGTGTGGGATACGTGGGTGGAGCCGCGGGCAATGCTAGTATTTTATAAAAAAAGTCAGAAGATTATGCTTATTTCGTTTCAAAATCTACTCATTGATTTTCTAATCCTAGAACTCATAGATTGTAACAAGTCACAAATTGTGTAGGGATTCTTAGCTTTAGAGAACAAAGTAGCTATATAATATATTGGAATCTGGTAACTTTTCTATTTCGCCGCCATAGGTTTGTTTTTAAAGTATCTATATTATAATTTTCTAAATATAGTTTACATTTTTGTAAAAAAACTTGAAACACTGAAAGATAAAAAATTTATTTACTTATAATAAAGAAAAAATAAAATTCAATGAATATTTACTTATAGAGCTTATATGAATATATTTTGACTGGATAATTTTCAAAACGACTGAATGAGATTTTTACTGGCGAATAGAATATTCGAGTGAATCATATTAGCTCCTTTAACAAATTTGCTATGTAGAGACATAGATCTACATACAACGGGAAGACATGCAAGCAAGCCAAGGGAAGGGTACGCTAGTTTCTAAAGCAAATTAATAAAGATAAATATTTGCTTTCCATCTAAACTTGCTAAAATTACAAACGTTAATTGTTTTGTTTACTCAGTAAATAATTTTTCTCTCTCCCTCTATTACGAGTATAGTTCTCAGAAATTCCATTTGTTAGATTTACTAAAATTAGAATTTATAAATTACAAATACAACGATGTTTTTAAGCGCCTTCTAAATGTTTTAATTTTATCTTTTGAGATTTAATAATATGATAATATTTGAATATTAAATTAAAACAAACCCATACCCAACAGAGGAGGCAAGCAAGGAAGTTGTTCCAGGAATGAAGAGCGAACATGTGGAATATCATCGACTCGGTAAGTGCTGTTATATTGTTGTATTGAAACTGATTTTTTTTATAATGGCTTATAGTTGCGTTAACAGACGCAATCCATTCTGCCAGTGTCACGTTTTGTGAGAAAGACACGAATGAGATTGAGCGGTAATTTTGAAATTTGGTAACTATATTGTGGATTAAAACTATAAATGAATGATCGGTCAACAAGAGTAACCTACAACAATAGAAAAATAGTTACGTAATACAAAAATGACACATTGATTGAGAATGAAAAAATATATACATAATGAGATTATATTATAATTTAATTTTATTATCTACTATAAATTTAACTAGTTTTTTAATAAATGGGCTAAATACAAGGGCTAATAAACATTTGGTGTTCTGAAATTTATTACATTGACATTAATAATCTCTTCACATATTATATGTGATGGCCATGACATCAAGAGTTCTATTAGGTACATAGGAAAAATATTAATGTGGATTAGCTAGCATAGTTTAAGATACCACTGTCTTATACATAATCAACACAGAAAGCAGAAACCGAAGAAAGATGTTCCGTACTATACATATAAGTCATTGGTGGTGCGTGTTGTCCATTAGACACAATAATCAGATTTGTAACTAAAACATTATCGCAGGAAATGTAAATATAAAAAAGGCGATATATAAAAATTAAAATTAATAATATGGAAATCGTATTTTTATACCTACTTAAATGATTTTTAATTATTTATTAAAAGTTGTCTAAAGTTGCAAAGTAACTCAATGATCTATCTTTAGGAAATTCTTGGTCTCAAAAGTTATTTTTTGTTAATCTAAAATTGATATTATTATAAAAATAAAGTTTTATAAATAAAAAATAATTTAGTACGTACTCGTAACATGAAAATGGTGCAGAGATGTTACCCGAGAGTACTATACTCATAATGTCCTCGTTTCGTAATCTACTGTTATTTACGTACATGGTATGATATAATACAAGTCATAAAGGGCTTTACATTGTTAGAATACCGCATGTTAATATTGTAAATGCGATTATATAACATAATGTATAATTTTTCTATCTTAAAATACAACAAGAAAATAGGATTTAGTTATTTAGAATATATCTTTTGTTGTTAAATAATATGTGTGTATAGAAGGTTAGATAAATTAACAAATATATGAATCTACTATCATTACCCGCGGCTCCGCCCGCGTTCAGATGACCAAAAACCAAATTCTTAGGTTTTACATATTAGTATACTCTTACATTGCAGTTTTTGTATTTTTTCTCAGAAATGAGATATTTTCCCGCGGTAAAAAGTATCCTATATGTTGACCAGGTTAACCAGCTATCACCATACCAAATTTCATCAAAATCCCTCCAGTGGTTTTTCTGTGATGCGGTAACAGACAGACAGACTTTTTACCGCGGGAAAATATTTCACTTTTGAAAAAAAATACAAAAACTGCAATGTAAAGGTATACTAATATGTAAAACCTAAGAATTTGGTTATTGGTCATCTAAACGCGGACGGAGCCGCGGGCAATGCTAGTAATTTAATAAAATTGTAAAAGTGAAAACAAAATATTCTCTAAAATAGATTCCGTACAAGAAAACGGGGAACTGGTATCACGATTAGAACAACATGCGACAGCTGATGCGACCGGAGATGAGAAGCCTCGAGTGCACGTCAAAGCGCAATTAGACGTGCCGGCTGAGGGCGTGCACCAAGTTCTAGTACAAGACGGACAGCATATCAGCGTGATGGACGGGACCGTATCAACTACTGTGGCACCAGAGGAAACAACGACTAAGGTAAGATCAGAGAGTATGTAATATGTATGTATGAATATGTACATGTATCATACGCGGCTTTATTTTCGTTACAAGGATGATTTTCGGTTTGTTTTTTTTTAGTATAAGCCCTGGAGATTTTTATAACATACGCCATATAAAAATCTCTAGACAGGGCAATCGTACGAGGCGGGTGAGTTAAGACGTGGATGAGGCGCTCCCGACTGCTACACGTGCTGTGTTATACGACAATTGAAAAACGTCTTTAGGGTTCAGTGTAATTTGTGACAACTGGAATATTGGTATTTTTTGACAGCAACTATTGTAATTTATATTATTTTAATTCACCCAGTTTTATGACATAATTTTGGCAATTTTACTATAAATATATGAAAGGACGACTTTTTAAAGTATTTGTTTGATAAAATAATAAAAATATCATTTTTGACTTTTATCTATAAAATGCACCAAACGCCCAGGCATAGATTAATCCTGCAATGTTATTTAAATTTTTCAAATTAAGTATATTGAAAAAATATTCTCATTTGCAAGTACATATACCATAATATGTATTTAGCCTTTTTTATTGTCTGCTCAGCATGTGCCTCTCTTACTAAGCGATGAGGCTATATCAACTACACGTTATGAGATAATTGCTATAATAAATATTTTTTAGATATTCCACGGCGCAGCCCGATTAGTACAACCGGGGGCGGCTACGAATATTCCACAAAATGGCCACACCGCTGTACGAAGAGCTTTTAACCCCGATATGACCAAGGAAATTAAAAATAACGTAAATATTATCAGTTATTCTTACTTTTTAAATCACTTCCGAAAAGGAGGAGGTTCTCAATTCGTCAGAATCTTTTTTTTGTAAATACGTATCGAAATATATTAGATTTGCTTTGTATCGGCTGGCACCGACTTCGAAAATATCTGATTAGGCATCTATTCTAAATTAAAACCTCCGTTTAGTTATTTTTTTCATTTTAGTGCCTGGAATCCGTTTTTTTTTAGTTTTTAGAACGTTATTTCACTTACCATTCTATCAATTTCTCAATAGTTATTAATTTTCTAATAAAGAACCGTGGTAAGGTATTAGAAAATCCTTAAAAGCACTGTAAATATTTGCCCTGGCCAACAATTAAACCTAATATATATCTCCAATTTCACTAAAAATAGAATTACGTACTATATCCAAAGTAAATGTTGTCGTTAACTTACTTTATGAGTCTGCCAGACTGAGTTTCGTCATAAAATTTAGAGGTTTGTTTTTATATTTTTGAGGGAGATTTTCTCTTGCGTATGGAGAATTTTATCTAAGCAATATGTATACCTTGCTGTGGATAGCTAACTAATTTAAATCGATGACATCAAAAGCCACACAAACAAGATCATATATTTTTTTAATTAGATATTGGCCTACTCTTGACCTTCATCTTAGCTTAACATAGATAGCATCTTAGACATAGATAAGGTCTACGATCTAGCGAGATTTATACGATCTCAGAAACCTAGTTTCTATATAATACAGGTTTACGTAATTTGATGTCGTCATATTTTCTTTCATAAAGTAATTATAGCATATTTACAATAAATACGTGACAAACTATTAGTATCAGATTTTTTATTTAGATATCTGTAAGTAATGTATACTAATATAATAAAACTGAAAAATTGTTTTTTGTTTTATGATCTCTGGAACAACCAGTCGGATTTGAAAAATCTATTTCGCATTTGATCGTTTAATTCTTGAGAAAATTTTTAGTGTTGATGCTATAGTACTAGTGTGTTATACATAGAAGCCGCTATAAAACTAGTTACTTAATAATTTTTTACTAAAAAGGTACACTGACTTCAAAATAAAAAAAAATTAAAGTTGGACAATAACGAATATGAGTGTTAATATCCAATTTCATCAGATGGAGCACTACACGCCGTACGCAGGCATCCAATATTCGCCTCTAGATATGGCGGAGTACGTGTTCTGGACCGGAGATGAACGCGGCGTTACGACTGCGATAGAAGAGTTCCTGCAGGAGGGAATGGTTCGTATCCATATTGGCTTATAATATTATATATTAAACTATTTTAGGTTTTCTTATTAAATATATTTATATTTAATATTTTTGCGAGGAATGGAACTACGTAGATATCTTTATGCTTTCTATCAGCACTTACATCTATACAGATAAATAAATTGAAGTCTCTATTTGTAATATCAAAACACAACTTTTAAATTTGTCGTCTGCCTGTCTGTTGTTCCGGCTACTCTTCGAAACGGTTGGACCAATTTTGAGGGGACTTTCACTGGCAGATAACTGATGTTATAAGGAGTAACTAAGCTACTTTTAGTTTAGTAAAAGATAACGAATTCCGTTCAAAAAATTAAAACGTACGTAGGACGTAAGCGAGCGTAAGCCGCTAGTACTACATACATATAATACAATTTTAGTTTTCATAAAATTATTGTTCTCTATAAGTCTACTTCTATTCATACCTATTTGAAAATCTATATAGTTATGAAATAATCTATATCTACATATTATAAAATTGTAAACTAAGCCGAATCTGTACATTAAATATTTTTTTTTGGAAAATCTTATTAAAATAGACATTATTATCGATACAGAGACCGAATCTATAGTTTTTATAATTTTTGTCTGTCTGTCTGTTACCGCATCACGGAAAAACCACGGGAGGGATTTTAAAATTTGGTACGATGACAGCTGGTTATCCGGGTCAACATATAGGATACTTTTTATTGCGGGAAAATATTTCATTTCTGAGAAATCTATATATACTATACGTACGTTAAAACGTAATTAGGGACGAACCCGAGCGGAGCGAGGGAGAGTCGCTTGTTGTTAAATATATTGAAGTTTAAGTTTATAGAATTAGGTACTTTATGGTTATTTTATAGGCTACAATTATAGCAGTCTTAGCATTATGAAAACTTAAGCGTTTTTTTAACCCCGGACGCAAAAAGAGGAGTGTTATAAGTTTGACGTCGATGTCTGTCTGTCTCATCGTATGGACGACTCAAACATATGGACCGATTTCGATTAGGTTTTTTTTTCTTTTGAAAGACAGTTTCCTTGCGGTGATTCTTAGCTATGTTTGGTTAATATCGGTCCGGCAGTGTAAGAGTATAAGCTCTTTTCCAAAATGATGTAAGGCATTTTGGCGTATGATTACTCGATTAAGTCCTTCACGCGTGCCAGTGTAATCGTTAAATAACAATAAATTTGCGTAGGGGTTTTTTTTAATTTTTAATTTATAATTGTTACCTATAAGCACACGATCTAGTAAGGCTGTATAATTTTAACATATATATGTTATACATACATATGTATGTGTCTACGTATGAAGGCAAATAACAAAACAATGAAAATATTTATATTAATAACAGAACAAGTTGATCCTACACGTGTTCAATCCGCCGTCTAAACGAGTTTACCCATTTTCAAATTAACGAACTGAAATACCAGCCAGTCTCCTTTGATCTATACATGTGGTAATTATAAAGGGACCTAAAGTGTATACATATGCCTTGGTATAGATAGACTATTGTTGTAATATTCGATAAAATGAATAGGTATTTGATAATGACTAGGTCTAGATAGATTATATATAGATTTCAATGTAACTTATTTCATTGTGAATGTTAAAATGTTTTAACTTAAGCTATATTATTTTGTTTAAATCAGTTGAGTAGATTCAAAGACAAAGCTTCACATATGTAGCGATTAGCGAGACTTCTGCTTAGTGGATGGTAGAGTAAGAAATTCGAGTGAAGCCACTGGCAGTAATTCAAATTACAAAATCTTTGATATTATATGGCTCGATACTAAATTATAACGCTTAGGTTACGTTTAAGCAAAAGTATTAGTATCAAAATTTCTCAAACATTAAAATTTTACTTAAATAGATGTTCAAAACGACTCCATTTATTATATTTTCTAATTAAAATATACTTAAAGGATTTATACTAAATTTATTTCAATTCTTAGTTAAAATTCAGAACATGGTACTGTCAGCTTTTAATTTGAAATTACACAATTTGCTTTAACTTAATTATAAGTCAACAATGTTAATTATAGTTTGGGGTGTGTTTTTTTAATTATTTCAGATGTCTAAAGAAGAGGCTATAGCATTCCTACAGGAGATCAAGTTCAACATCGACTATCTCCGTGCTCATTACTCTCAGAATATTAAGGCGGCTGAAGAAAGCGCACAACAGGAAAAATTGAGAAACATAATTATGGAACAAAATGCTAAGGTACGTTTAAGTATGAATATAAAAAACCGGCCAAGTGCGAGTCGGACTCGCGCACGAAGGGTTCCGTACCATTATCTACAAAAATGGCAAAAAATCACGTTACATTAAATGAATAAATAAATATTCTGTGAATATTTCAAGTGTCTACCTGTTGTCACGAAACAAGCAAAAAATCACTTTTGTTGTACCTATGGCAGCGCCCTTAAATATTTAGTTTATTCTGTTTTTTAGTATTTGTTGTTATAGCGGCAATAGAAATACATCATCTGTGAAAATTTCAACTGTCTAACTATCACGGTTCATGAGATACAGCCTGATCACAGACGAACAGACAGAGAGACGGACTGACAGCGGAGTCTTAATAGGGTCCCGTTTTACACTTTGGATACGGAACCTTAAAAAAATATTTAAATACTTGTTGTTGTTAAAAGAAATGTTCCATTTAGATATTTTTGTATAAGTAACAAGGAAATTTTCGATATGCTTTATTTAACATCAAAGAGATATTCATTGTTTTTTGTATACATATGTCTATTTTATAAGTTACTGACAAAGTTCTAAAGCAAATACGAGTAAATAGGTAGAATAGGTAACTCTACACCTGTCATGTACATTCACTTTAGTTTACGGTTCATGTATTTGTTACTAACATTAATTTGCAGCTTTGAAATCTGAGGGCGTAGGTATTTTCATCTTGTTTAATTATATGACAATGTGTGATAAAATAAGGCCGCTCACATTTTTGTATTTACTTATTTAAATATAAATGACATTTATTTTTAAATGTACTTAACTATTAAAATCAGAAAATATAAATACAAAAACGAAAACATTCGACTCCGTAAAAAGACTAAAATATAGAAGGAAAGATGTAATAAGGACGTAGGATAATGCATTCGAAGACATACATGGTTTATACTTAGAGACTTGCTAAATAAATGCCTAGGGGTACAAACTAAAAAAAGGTTTTTCTTTTTTGTTGCGTTTGCTTATGCTGCACTTGTTAAAATATTAGTTTCCTTGTTTTTATCCGACTGCGTCGAAGCGCAAGAGGAGGTTTGTGTTTTTACCCTAACTGCAGTGAGCCCCATTTCGTAAATTATTTTGCATTATTAAATCTATAATCTTTGTATCGATTTCATGTCTAAGGCTGAAATACCTTATTTATGTATATCATAACCAAACTAAAATACAAAATAAAATAGGTTTCTACTCTCACTAACTTAATTATAAGGTGTTATTCACCTTGGTTGTGTAATGACCCTAAAGTAACACAAGCCACTTTGATACTATGCGGCCTGACGAGACGTTAATAATGTATTTGGGGACATGTGGCTTGTCACCAAATAGGTTGACAATATACAGGCTTTATATGTATAAATATTGTATTTGTCATTTTTGTAGACTATAAGAGATTTTATGGACTATAACTATTTAGAACAATACGTAATATGAATTTGAGACTACACGTGGGTAACTAGTTCGATATTTTAAAGAGTTTTATCTACACATGTAGTATAATACCCAGACCTGGTAAAAACTGACCTGCATTGAATATTTACTGAAAAAATAAAGTTAACGAATGTTTAAGAATTAACGAAATATCAACTAACTATCTATATATAGATTTTTTTTGTCTATATATAATAATGTAATCAGATATCATTCAAGAGATTCTGAACGAATTTTATATAACCTATTTATGTCATAATTTAAAAGACAAAGTTAAATAAGCTTAACCCTGTATATTATTATACTTTTTGAGCTTAACGCTCTCAGCACCCCGTCATAGTTGTGTAAGTCCAAAGAGAATTACAAACTCGCCACGGTATCTATACATCTTCACTTTACAACCTTAAAATTGTTATAATACCTATGTAATATTGTAAATGTAATATATTTTTAGTCATAAATAATAAAAGTAAAATTTTCATATTAAGGCAAGGTTATATTTTCTTTAATATTTGTTTATTTTAAGCTATATTGATATTTTATTTTAATGTGGTATGACTCGCAAATAAATTATACATTTGTTATTTTACTTATTATTATTATTATTATTGTGTTGGGTGTGGTGCCGAGGTCGGCCCTTAGCTACGTCGACCAGTTTAGGTCCATTGTAGCTCCCTTTATAATGAGTTCAAAGTTCTCCGCTTAGTCCTGTTGACTTCAGGAACTTCCAGATTTTCTGAGCGGGGAGCATCTGTATCTCTTCTGGTTGCATAATATGCTGCCCTAGATAGATACTTCTGCGGTGCTTGAGTGGACCGCACGAGCAGAGGATGTGCATAGCAGTTTCCTCTGTCTCATGGCATAGTCTGCACATTGCGGTCTGACTGAGGCCGAGGGTAAACATATGTTTATTGAGTTTGCAGTGACCAGTAAGTATTCTGGTTACTGCACTGGTTTTATACTTGTTGAGTTGAAGCAACTCTTTTGTAAACTTTCTGCGATATCCCTTAATTAGCGCTTTAGAGTGTATTTGTCCAGAAGTGGATTGCCACTCTTGAAGTGCTTGGCGATTGCAGTGAATTTTGAGAATTGAATAGGCATGTTGTTTTGCAATACCACAAAATGGTTCTGGGCCACATACTGGGGTTTCAGCACCCCTTCTTGCCAGTGCATCAGCCTTTTCATTCCCATCTATGCCTGAGTGACCCGGGACCCATCTGAGGGTAACTCTGTTGGATGTGCCCAGGACATTCAGATTTTCCTTACAGTCTTTGACCAGCTTAGAGTTGGTCTCAAGAGAATCTATAGCCAAAAGTGCTGCTTGGCTATCTGAGTTGATGTAGATATTTTGGTTTCTAAGCTTCCTCTCCAGGATGACTTCAGCACATTTGTTGATGGCGAAGACCTCGGCTTGGAAGATGGTGGCCTCCTTGCCCAGATTGACAATCATGTCAAATCTAGGCTTAAGGCCATAGATACCGCACCCTACATCAGATCCTTTCTTGGATCCATCTGTGAACCAAACATGACTGCCCTTTTTGTGAGACTCTTGGTTTTTTAGCCACATGTCCCGGTTGGGAAGATCTATTTGGTACTGTTTTGCGAAGTTAAACTCTGTACTCATGCCATCGACTGGCATTTTCAGAGTTTTGTGTTCGAATGTCAACTCTTTGAGTTTGTTCATATATTGCGATTGCAACTTTACATTCGATTGTGTACAGAGCCTGTAGAGGCAAGATTTAGCTTCTTTTTGCACATGGAGATATAGCGGAGCTATGTCCAACAAAGCATTTAGAGCGTCGCCTGGTGCCGAATGGAAGGCTCCCGTGATGATTAGACATGCCATCCGTTGTATGCTGTCTAGTTTACTCATAGTTGTCTTTTGTTTGGTTATGTTACACCATACGACTGAGGCATATGTTATGATCGGCCTTACCACGGCGGTGTACATCCAGAGAGCCATTTTGGGTTTGAGGCCCCACTTGGCTCCAGCCATTCGACAACATATCCAGAGGGCCATTTTGGCTTTTTGTATAATGTTGTTGAGGTGAGAGTTCCAGGTCAACTTTTGATCAATAGTGACTCCAAGGTACTTTACCTCATTTGATAGGTTAAGGGTTTTTCCATTGAGTCTGAGTTCAGTCAGCCTTTCAAGCTTCCTTTTCCTGGTAAATGGTACAATAACTGTTTTTTCAGCGTTTATTGATAATTCATTTTCTCTGCACCATCTTGTGATGGTATTGAGAGCTCCTTGTAACCTGGTGGAAATTGTGTTCAGGCAGGGACCTCTTACTACTACAACAAGGTCATCTGCATAGCCCTGTGTATCGTAGTCAAGATCTGCCATGATTACAAGTAGTAGGTCTACAGCTAGTGTCCATAATAGGGGTGAAAGCACTCCTCCTTGCGGACAGCCTCTTGTAGTGTGGAAGTTGTGCGAGTGTTCGTTTAACGTAACTTTCGCACACCGGTTGGAGAGCATATATTCCACCCATCTGGTGGTTGTGATATCAACACCTTTTGCATTTAATCCTTTCAGGATGGTTGCCGTAGGTGTGTTATCAAAAGCCCCCTCAATGTCCAAAAATGCACATAGAGCTGTCTGCTTATCCTCTAGGGACCTTTCTGCCTTGTCGACCAGAGCTACTAAGGCAGATTCTGTGGATTTACCCTTTTGGTAAGCATGTTGGTTGCAGGAAAGTGGTCTAGCCACAAGATACCTTGTTCTAATGTGCTGATCGATTACTTTTTCCATTGTTTTTAGTAGGAAAGAAGTAAGACTAATAGGTCTAAAGGATTTGGGCTGAGAGTAGTCTTTTTTACCGATCTTCGGTATAAAGATAACCTTGACCTTAGTCCATTGTTCTGGTATAATGCCCCAAGCAAAGCTTGCTCTAAATAATTTTACCAGATGCGGGATAAGGAGTTCCATGCCCTGTTGAAGCAGAGCTGGAAAAATTCCGTCTTCCCCTGCTGATTTAAATGGTTTGAATTTTTTCAAAGCCCATCTAATCTGGTTAGGCCTAAAAATGGTATTGGCCATCTTCCAGTCGCAACTATTTGCCCTGTGGATGTAGTTTTCCTTTGGGTTTGATTCACTGCCGGTGACAGGGTACGATCCTGGGAAATGGGTTGCTCTTAAAAGTTCCAGCGTCTCCATCTCTGTGGTCGTGAAGGAATCGTCTCGCTTTTTTAAAAAGCCGAGAAAGATGTTTGGTGTCTTGGCAAGGACCTTGTGGATTCTCGCTCCTTTATGTGTTTGGGCGATATTCTCACAGAATCGTTTCCAAGATGCTCTTTTAGCTTTTCTGATCTCTTTGTGGTATTTAGTCAGAGCCTTCTTATACCGTTCCCACCCATACGGTGTAGTGGCCTGATTAAATAAGCGACGTGTGGAAACTCTAAGTCGTTCTAGCTTTTTGTTCCACCACGGAGTATTGTTGTTAACCTTGAGTTCCCTGACAGGACAGCTATTTTCATAGGCATTTAAGATGCCATCCGTTAATAAGTTGTTTAAAATGTTAAGGGAGTCGGGTGTCTTGATTGTTTTTGGAAAATCCTTAGCTGCCTCAGCGAGCAGGTTTTTGAAGTCTACCCACGAGGTGGCTTTGGGATTTCTAAGCCTTTTAGGCTCAGTAGTTATTGAGCCTTGTATGCTAAAGACAATATGTTTGTGATCGGACAAAGAGTTTTCATTACTGACATGCCATTTACTTATGTGTTTAGCGATTTGTTCAGTAGCAAAGGTAATATCCAGAACTTCCTGCCTAGCTTTGGTAGCGAAGGTTGGATTACAGCCTTTATTGAGTATTTGTAGATCGTTAGCTAGGAGAAAATCTAAAAGTAACTCACCTCTTTTGTTGGTACCAGTACTGCCCCAGATTGTGTGATGGGCGTTTGCATCGCAGCCAACAATTAATTCTGTCTTGTGTTTTCGAGCGTAGTCGACGACTTTAGACAGTTCTTCGGTGGGGTTGGCTTTCTCTCCGGGCAGGTAGGCCGAGCACACCAGTGCTCTAGTTTGACCACGCCCTCTGAGAACGGTGATTGCAGCGACCATGTCATCACTGCAAAGTTCTGTAACAGGCAAGAAATTAATACCTTTCTTAAAAACGATACAGGCCCTAGGCTTGGTGCCATTTTCGTTAGCTAGGATCTTACCTACTCCACTTAAGCCCGAAATCTTGGACTTGGCGTTAAGCCATGGTTCCTGAACCAGCGCTATATCCATGCCATGTGCTCTAAAGGTGTTTTCTGCCACGGCTGTGGCAGCGATAGCGTGGTGTAAGTTGGCCTGGAGTATGTTGGTATGGGCATCGCCAGTTTGGTGTGTTGCGCTACTGGGGACGAGCCCCATTGCGCTTGTCACGTCCCTTGCTGCGGCCCTTTTGTTTATGGGGGCGCTGGCTCTTGCCTCTGGGGGTTTGTCCACCCCTGGTGTGCCCCCCTGTATGAGGAAACCTGTGCGGAGTTCCAGTCGTTCCGCTGGTCCCGGCCACAGGAGCCACGCCAGGTGCAGCTGCACCAGATGGTGAAGGCGCAGCAGCGTTGGCGCTCGCTCCAGCAGCCGCGGCCCCAGAACGAGAGGTAGACGGCACAGGTCCAGAGGCAGAAGTCCCAGGATTGGGTGTGGGCTGGTTGATGCCCTTAATCCGGAACTGGACAGACTTGAAGGCCAAGTAGGCTTTCAGGTCGGTTTTTCGGAGGGTCTCAACAGACTGGTCGTCGATGGAGAGGGTGAGTGTGATTCCGCCCTTCTCCGCCTTTTTGTTGAGAACCTTCCACAGTTCCGTATTGAGGCCATCATTTTGTATCCGGAGACAGGAGAGCGCTTGGGCGACGTCTTTTGACTCCGGATCGGGGATGTATACTACCCCAACCTTTGGTTTGGGCAAGTCACTCTCATTAATGAGAGCGAGCTTAGCTCCTGGCCACGGCTGTAAGGTGGGTATACAATTTTCAAGCCATTCCCTGGTGTGCTGGTTGATGCAGGTAATGAGCAGCCAGCCTGGCTTGAATGATAGCCCGCCAAAGGCAGGTCCCTTACCCTTCTCCGAAGTGGTGATTTTGGCCACGATCGCATTATAAAGTGACTGCAGCTGTGCGTCAGTCATGGGAGTGGAGTCCCTCACACCAACTTTGGAGGAAGATAAGGCCGCACTATAGGCAGCTGGAGGTGGTGGGGCCGACGGTGCTTCGCTCGACCTTTGGGACTTCCTCACTGGTTGTCCCTGTGGTGATTCCTCCTCCGAGCGGGTCCTTTTGATGGAGCGCTCGGGTTCGGGTTTCGAAGCATCGAATGGATACCCCATAGCCCTGAGTTCCGCAAAGGTTTTAGCGGACAGTTCGTAGGCTTTTGCAGCCTCGACTCCCTGTCCCCTAAGAGCCTTAAGGCGGATTAAGGCTGCCCCACTCAATCTTTTACGTTTGGGTCGGGCAGCATCAGAGGAGGTGGCAGCAGGGTTACCAGTAGGTGATTCAGGGCTTGTAGAAGCCCCTATCGCCATTTCGGTGCCTGCAGTCACCTCCATTGGTTGCGCTGACATTTGGGCGGTTTCATCCGCACCCATTGTCAGCGGCATGAGGTCCTGGCACAATTCGTCCAGGGTTTGTGACGTGGTAACGTCATTTCTATTTTTGTTGGTTTGGTCCTTACTCATATAGGTCCCACGAGCAGCTAGGGAAATAAAAATGCCCACCGACAGAGCCCCGCATGTCGATGGGAGGACTTAAAATACTATCCGATTCGTCCAGGTGTCGGATAGCCACCGTTAGCGACTGAGCTCCCCCCCAGCCACGCATCCCTCGGCACGGTACGAATAACACCTTGGATTGGGTTCTAAACTAAAGCTATATATATACGTACATATATACTTCATAGACACACTTACATAAACATACATAAACATACATATATAAATAAAAGCGAAAGCAAGCGCTCGGTGTTTTCTGTTGCGTCTATTTCCTAGTGAACTAGACCAATAACAGGGCTGGCAACCTCGTGAAGGATAGTACACCGAACTTGCCTTGGGGATCTTTGCGACAAAAGCGTCACTCTCCCCCAAGACCAACGCCACCCCACCGTCTCTGAAGGAGACAGTAGGGTAGGCCTGCGCCTACACTACCATGCGAAGCATGTCGTAAGGGAACCGTGAAAGCATAGATGCAGGCCCGCCCCATATTTTTTTTTTTTTTTTTTTACTTAATACAACCGTTTGCATAAATAAATGGCTTCATATATGATTAAAAGACTTATTTTTAAGACACAAAATATTTTTCATTTAACTTATAACGTCTATATAGTATATAAGTAATGTTGAATTTACCTATTTTATCCAAATCTAGGACTACCAATACCGTCAAGTGCCCATTCAATCGTTCCCGTTCGGGGGCAGGCCTGACATCGTCCGCTCGATATCCGGCAAAAATTGGGATTTGAGCAATAATATCGGAGTGATCCCATCTTTGCCTATTACAAACGATTTGCGCCCAGAGCCCGTGAAGAGGACTTACGACCCTATGCTACAGACTAATATTATCAGTGAGTTTGATTCCTTTATTTTATTAAAATCTAGATCATACTTTCCATTTCACAGAGAGTCACGTGATTGATTTCGGTCTAGGCGATCTGTTTGTTTGTTTGTTTGTTTGTTTGTTTGTTTGTTTGTTTGTTTGTTTGTTTGTTTGTTTGCTCTATTATTTTTTCTCACATACGTTTGGTGGGACGATCTGTGAGAGATCAGGCTCAGTACTCTGCGTTGGCCTTCGGCACAGTGTTATATGAATTGTATAGTCAATTTTTCAATTTAACCTTGGTATTAAGTTCTTGACAGAAAAAGAACAATAAATAACTATAGGTACATAGCCTGACCTAGGTCTTGAACCCAGGACCTTAGGATTTGCAACCAAAACGTCAATTCAATATATAAATTAAACAAAATAAAAAAAATGTCACTGTTTAACAATAGAGTTTAGTACCTACCTTACTTAATTTATTTTACTTTTACTAATTATTAATTAATATAATTACTTGAATGCTTAATTTAATATTTTGTTTAATTAATTCAAGGCACTTTGGACTACGATCGTGAGGCTCCTATTATTAGTGAGGAGGAGTATGAAGAGATGATGGACAAACTACGTGCTGCGGATACGCTCTACACCGAGTACACTCTCGAAGAAATTATTTACCAATTGGCTAAGGTATAATATCGCATTCAGCTGAATACTTAAGCTCTAAAAAAATTTGGACATGATTTTTGTATTGATTATGAACAGGGGTTTTTAGAGTAGTTACGGTTCGGATAGTTAGAAACAGTTTGACGTATTTTAACAATCATTATTATGATGACAATTTGCGTGAATAAATTACGTGGGATAAGCTAAGTGATCATGTAATAACAATCTCATTGTGTAAGGAACATCACATGGAGAACAGAAATGATCTACATATTTAACATAATATTTTTAAAAGGTCCTCCTCTATCTCCGAAGCGAGCCATTTTCGCGGAAGATATTATAATGCAGTAATTCCTGTCACTCTCAAAGTCCGGTGGGGCGATAATTCGTCACTCACGGTAAGAGATCAGGCGCAGAACCGGCGTGATTTGCCTCGACACGTGGGGTGTGAGACCCCCAACTTCCTAACTTTGGGCTCTTATTGAGAATTTTTTGATATAAAATCGTCATTGCTAGACTTCACTCTGGACTCGAACCCAGGAGTCTGTAGTCGTACACGCTAGCTACTAGACCACCAAGACAGCAGTGGCGAAGAGTCCATACAAGACGTCTTACCTTAAAATGTATTTTGCTATAATTTTATATACATTTAATTTTTTAAATGTATAAATGTTAAAAAAATTGTATATCAATGTTTTTTTGTGTTTTTTTTGGAACGGTTTACCTCTGGTAAAATTTCATGCCACTGCCTCGCAGTAATGAACTAGAGTGGAGTAACCAGGAGCCCCCGTTGCAGATGATGTTCTCGCAGTCGCTGCTGCGCGAGCCGGCGGCGGCGCGCGCCGCCACGCAGCGCTTCATGTCCTTCCTGGAGCTGGAGGCGCAGCGCGGGCAGCTCTCGCGCACCATACAGAAGAAAGTGCTCGGTAATATACATACTCGTATAAACTAACTTTAATTTATAACTAGTGACGTACCCAGTGCCGGATTCAACATTAGCGCCGTCCCTAGGCACTGTAAAATTTTGTACTGTAAAAGCATAAAATGGGTAGTTTCGAAAAATTTTCTAATTAATAATTTTTTAGAAAATAAATAAAGCATTTTCGATAACGCGAAGAAAATTTTTTTCCCGCCCTCCGAATGTAGCCGCCCCTAAAAATTTGCCGCCCTGGACACTAGCCCCGAGCGCCCCTAGTGTAAATTCAGCGCTGGACATACCCTTGGTTCGCTCGCGTGCTTCCTTAAGTGCCTTTTACATTTATTTATAATATTATTAGTGGCTCAGAGCGGTTTCGCCTATAGAAAAACAAAAACTAATCTATCGCACGGGAATCGTAAATTTTTTCGGGATAAAAATAGCTAAATTGTGTGCTTTTATCTCTGTGCCAAATTTTATCCGGATCTGTTTAGCCATTCTGGTGTGATTGAGTAACAAACATTCATCTAAACTTTCACACACCTCCAGGTAAATTTCTAAGAAACTAATTAAATTTAACTATAACGCCGGCGTGTCCGCGGTCGTGGAGGGATTAATAATATTAGTAAGATATATTTACTACGAACCACCATATTTTGAAAAATATTATTTTATCGATTCTGGTTCCATGTTAAATTTTTGTCGCTTTTATATAGTTGAATTTAATATTATACTTGTTAAATTTTTTTTGTAACATTCAATTTGCAACGTCCATATGTGACCGCTCTTGAGAATCTATGAACTATTCAATAAAAAATTATGAAAACATACATTTGGCGGAGATGTCATGATCCAGGTTCAAATTCGCTTCATTAAATGTATAAACAAACGCATTACTAGTATTACCGTAGTTATATTTAATTTAAAACATTTTGTAAGTGCTATTATATCATATATATGTATTCCAGACGTGATGATGGCGGCACTCACAGACACCATCAGCGACCATCCCGAGCTATTGCAGGCGCGAGAGGGGCTCGGTCTTACTCCATCTAACCGGTTAGTACTCTTAAAGGAATCTGCCTACTACGGTCAGTGGGCAGTCTCATACTTTTCAATACAAAGAATATATTTTTGCCTGAAACGGTCCTAGCACGGTCATGGTAGGAGACGGTGTATTGTCCACTACACCTTAAAAAATTAAAAAGTATGAAAAAGATGCGCTTGAGACGCACCCGACTGTCATCCTTTTATAATCTATAATATTATGATACTTCAGTTCAATTTTCTTGTTAATGGCTTCAAAGTTCAAAGCCTGTCAGTTCAGCATAGATTACTTCGCCAATGTCACGTAGAATGTAGAGATACGAAAGAGATTGGTATACTTGGGAAACGACGTAAGGCGTAATTACTAATTTGCCACGAGATGGCATTACAGTACTTTAATTTCGAAGCCGTTAGTTTTCGTAAAAATGTATATTTATGACAATCCTTGCATTTCACAGCATTTTCGAATGCCTATAATTAAAATCAATAGGCAATAGGCCTACTGTTAATGTGATTTAATTGTTACTAATGCTATAATTTCATAATTTGTTGTATAGAATGCGACAATTTCTGGAAACGAGTGCGTCCGAGCCGAGCGCGTCGCGCGCTATCCTCGCCGCGTACAAGGACGAGCTACTGAAAGGCGCGCCTCTGCATAAACTAGCCTTCACCGAGAGGAACTAAATGTGGCGTATCTAACGTATTTACTGCTCCTGCCAATTTGTTTTGATCTCTTTTCCTTTATTGAACATATTTAAAACGAACTCTAGGTAATAATTCTTATTGGAACAATAAATAATATTTGTAATAATTTCGTTTATATTATGTTTAATAAGACGAGGAAATGATATCCCCTCGCATTGAAGGGAGGCCCTTACCCTGTAGCGGGATGTTAAAAAGGGCTTAATACATATTATTTATAATGTTAATAAATTTATATTTATTATCAGGGTTCTTTTTAAAATGGTCTACTTCTGCTATAATCCCTTAGGAATTTATAATGCCAAAGTCTAGTATCTAATTGTAAGTTTATTTTGAGCTTTTGACTGTCTGCAAAACGTGGCAATGTTTACTATCGCCGATTTATTATTATTATTATTAGAATAAATTAATATTAAATTGCTTTTAAGGGACTAAAATGTAATACAATATTTTTTGGTATACAAAAAGGTACCTGATGGTTCATTTCACATAATTCACATTAAAATCTCAGGTAAACTGTATCCAAATTAATAGAAGCTCTAATTTTTACTTTATATTTTTTTAAGTATACTATGTTTAGTACTAAATGTGGAATATTTAATAATTTTAGTAGAATTTTAGGTAAATTACATGTTTATTAATAATTTTCCTTGCTATAATCAAGTCATTGTATATGAAGTAAGAGGAAAAAGATATTTACAGATAAGCAAAGCTTCTGTAACGTTTTGTTACAATATCATTTAATAAGTATTTATTGGATTAACTAAAAAGATCTTTTTATTTGACAATTTTTTATGTGCATATTTTTACTATTACATAAATAATCCATTGCAATCTTATCTGTAAGTATCTAGACTTTAGTCTTAGAGTAAATTGTTTGTGCTATAATAACAAAAGAAATACATACACAAATATCATTATTAAATCTAGTCAGATATTATTCTTAATACATATTTTTCTACTTCATCTTCAAACATTGTGGTGTGCTTTTTCTGAAATAAGCTCCACTCCATGGTTATCCCATATGAAGTTAACCAAATATTTATGAGTTTTAATTTTCTAACAAAATTCATTGTAGATAGTTTTTATTAAAGTTGCATATCAGAAATGATAAAAAACATATCACATGATTCGCAAACCATAATTCATATTTTCAATTTACATCTTCAGTATAAAAAGCAGATCACAATGAACTTTTTATCTTCTACCCTAAAATCTATCTATACCTATATAAAAAATAAGACTTAGTGAAATCTATTAGAATCTAAAGTTACATGGCAAGACTTAAATATTCAGCATTGTTTGGATTGATGCTAAGGAATCGGCGTAAAATTTATTATATTTATATTATTCTTTGAAATATATTGTAATTTAATAAAAAAGTTAATGTCATTAGTGTTTAATTTACATCCTACTGAACCATTTTAGATTACCATCATTGAAGATATCTAATACTTTTTTATTATTTTAAATAAAAGTATCTTTTCTGTGTTTTTCGCAGTTTATCCCGTGACCATGATTGCTGCAAAGCATTCGAAACTTCGGGGACCAAAACTCAAAATAAAAAAAAATAAAATAAGAAAAAGATGGAATTAACGTAAAAATAAAAAATAGTCTAAAATGTTACATTTAATAAAATATAGATTACAAAGTTGACAATGGTGGGAATGCATTTTGTTTACTTACAACAACCTTCTTATGTTGGTATGAAATGTAGCCTTTAATTTTGCCCAGAAAGATTAAGTTGGCAACAATACATTGAGTTTCATCAGAATCTACATCCTCTTGTCCCATAATGTGCAGAGCTGCTTGAAAGCTGGCTATATCAATCTGATGTGAATTTTCTACCAAATATACCTTTCTAAACAGATTTCTATATGCTATAGTTTTCAGTTTCTCTACAATTAAGTAAATACCAGCACTAATAAAAAAAGACTCATGCTCTTCCATGATTGTGTCTATGCCATGCAAATCACCATTTTTTACTACAGACGTTAGATCCCAAAATTGTAGCAGGTCATACTTTTCCAAAAGTCGCTTTGTTGGCATATAGCCTAATAACATTTTAACAGGTATTAAATATGTAAGGATTAACCTTTTATTTTTATGACTCCTTTTATGGCAGTTTTGAAAGGCAAAGGATAGATATTCATCTGCTGCTCTGTATTCAGAATCAAACATTGCCTTACGACCAACAAAATATCTGTATGTAATTTGCTGAGCCAAAGGAAATTGGTACCATAAGGGAGACGAGTCAATTGCCCTTATAAGTGGTTTACATAAATGCAACTTGTTTATTCGAAAATACACTTTAAGGAGTTGGTTTACTAGATATAACATACCAAGTCTTTTGGTATCATCATCTGAAGTTCTATTATCAGCAGCACAAACTCTGAAGCATGAAAGTAAACTTTCTGCAGCCTTTTCCAAGATCTTGCCATTACTTTGAGCTGTAATAGAAATAAATAAAGTAATAAGCATTTTCATATTTATTGCTGCATGTTAATAATTATTTAAGTTGATTAGAGTAAAAATAATTAGAATATTTACAATGGACTTACATAACAAAAAAAATTACCTTGGCCAGTTTTTTAAGTACAATGAAAGAGATATGTATACATTTTATAAATAATGTCAACTAAAAACTAATATGTTTAAAAATATATTACTTACGTTTACATGCTTCTGCCTTCTGTGCCACCAGACGCAAATCTAGACATACAGTGTACATGAGAGGGAGACACCAGTTTTGTTCTTTTTGATTTTGTAATATTCTTACTATTGCTACTATACATTGGCTTTGGTGACTATAAGCTTCTAAATATTCTCTTTCACATAATGCCTGTAATTACAAGTTATGATTTAATTTTAAATTCGAAAATAATATAAACTTGACTTCAATTCTATTCACGTTTAATTCATGTTCTATTATAAGTAACGTTGAATGAGTATGTACCTTTACGCACAGTAAATGGCATATAATTACTTCATCAAGAGGTGCTAAACAATTGCCTTCCACTAGAGAAGCTATGTCACTTGATCGCAGATTTCTGTTCGCAACGTGTGGATCTCTTAGTGACAAAAGTCGCGCGAGATCGTCACCTTCTCCAAGTCTGTACATTCTTTCAACAGTCTGAATGTATTGGTTAAGAGTGCCGGTAGCCATTATTGTATTTAAATGATTATTATTGTTAAATTGAACAGCGTCACACGCATTAGTTCACAGTTTTTGCATACGTTTAAAGATTTAGACTTTAATCTTTATGAGATTTTATTTTGATTTTTCATTCACATTTCTTTTAGAGAACTGTGTTGAGCACAGAGCACAATACTAAGTGTTGAGTGTTCAGTGTTGACAGTTGACAGTGACACCATGGATGACAAATAAAAGTTGACAGTTGACACGTTTTTTTTCTATGATGTCCTAGAGTTGCGTTAACAGACGCAATACATTCTGCCAGGTTCACGTTTTATGAGGAAGACACTCGAATGAGATTGAGCGGTAATTTTGAAATTTAGCTTTAATGTGGAATAAAACCTTTAAAGGAATGATCGGTCTACAGGAATAGCCTACAATAATAGAAAGATAATTACGCAATACAAAAATGGCACATTGGTTGAAAATGAAAATACATAAATAATGAGAACCATATTATAATTTGTTATCATATAATATTCTATAGAATTAAAAAATCCTACTGATAACTAAATATGGAGGGTAGAACTAAGGAGAATTATCTCCCGTACCTCTAAAAAGTGACCGATGACAATCATCAAATTGGTGGCGCCACAGAAAACAAATAGATGGATTTAAAACATAGCACCAAAAGCCATAAGAGTAAAATGGTGAATTAAGCAAGGAAAGAAAGATTTCCTTTTTGTTGTGACGCACTTTTAAGATAGTTCTAACATATGCAAGCACCGATATATAATATAATTACATATTATTTTAAAGTAATAATAATTCAGAACACTTGACTCCGTTTAAAACTGCTAACTGCATATCACATCTACTTGCTACGCTAGCGCTATATCAAACTGAATTACAATTTGCTGCTCACCTCTAGACACTTTTTCAACTTGTTTCCCATCTATGTTGGTTCTCTTAGAACATAAATTATTATATAGATGCTATGCATAACGCATGTTCTACCCTCCGGCCTCCCTACAAAGTAGGTAGGTACCCTGAAATTCAAGTCAAAATGTCAAATCACGTATCTTTAAGGAAGGAGACGTCAAATCACAAATGTCAATGTAAAAACCATGCTGCTGTGTAATGGGGTTTGCGTTTGCTAGATTTACCGACATTGAGTAGATTTGATTTGCAAAAAAAGTAGGTATTTATAAAATATAAATCGCTTAAAATGGAGGAAAGTGTTGCTTTAGATTCAAGTCAACAAAAACAGTTTGTTAAATCTGTTCGAGGAATAAAGAAACTTTTAAAGGTACTGTTAAAAACAATCTAATAACAATATTTTAATTTATATAACCTATCATAACATTTTTCTAAGTTTTCAATTAATTCAATATACAGAAAAAGAGTAAAAAATCGGAAGAACAAGGCGCTACGAAAACTAAAACACAATCTGTTAAAAAGGAGGCAAAACTGGTGGAAAATGTAAAACAGAAAAAAATTAAGCGTAAACCAAGAGGTCTAGTTTATCTTTCTCACATCCCTCATGGATTTTATGAGGTTAGTTACTATATTAAATTATTTAAAAGTAGTTATGACTATTTATTACACCAAAGTAATATGAATAATGATAACTTCTTTTATAAAAATGTATATGATTTAAAAAAAAAATGTTTAGTCTTATTATCGTATACTTTTAATTAATGATATTGAAGTGGAAATGTGTGTATTTCTTTCAGCACCAAATGACAGAATATTTTAAACAATTTGGAGTTGTAACAAATGCTCGTGTAATAAGATCTAAGCGCACTGGTAATTCCAAAGGATATGCTTTTGTAGAATTTAAAGAAATAAGTGTAGCTAAGATTGTTGCTGAGACAATGAACAATTATCTGATGGGAAAAAGGCTTATTAAAGGTATATATTTATAACTACAAGAAGAATAAATATATTTTCAATTTAATGCTGTTCAGTTTAAAACTAATGTTATCTTCTTAAATGCTAAGTTACAATTAAAAAATAACAAAGTATTTCATTTGCAGCTGTTTTCATTCCACCAAAGAAGCAAAAAATAAATGCTTTGAGAAAAAATTGGAATTTTCAAACCAATCCTGCTAGTAAACAACGATTGAATATAAGAAAAGTATGAAGCTGGATCCTTTAAAATATATATCATTGTATCTATTTGTTATTCAATTCTAAAATAATATTAATTTTACAGGCTTACAATGCAAATAAAACAGATGAAGCAGAGCTTAAAATTGCTAGAAATTTATTAGCAAGGTAAATTTACTATTATATTACTATAGTTTTTAACTATGTATCTCATCATTACTAGAAAGCCCCAAATCATATTAATGAATCCAACAGCGTGTTTCTTTGATATTCCTAAAAGTATTATATATTATATGGAGATAAGTTATATTGTGCAATAAATTTATTTGTTATACAATTACTTTTTTATTACAGATTATCAAAAACAAAAGCAAAATTAAATGAAATAGGAATTGATTATGATTTCTTCAAACCAGTTGATGTTCCAAAAGTATTGGAAGATATTGTAGATAAGAATAACGATAAAGAAACTAATGTAAATTTAGAGAAAAAATCTCAAAAGAAACTTAAATCTGAATCTGCTGAGGAGAAAACAGTAAAGGATGAAAAAAAAATAAAGATTGAACCAAAAGGGAATGACACTAATAAATTAAAAAATAAAAAACAAAAAAATGTAAGTCAGTCAATAAAATCAGAACCCCAATTAAATGATAAATCAGACATAATAACTGTGAAAGCTATTAAAAGTAAGCCTGATATAAATAAGGAAATGAAGAATAATAAAGGACAAAACAAAAAGGATAAGATTAAGATGGAAGATATTAAACCATTAGAAAATTTCATTAGTGTCAAAAATGATACTAGTGATGATGAAGATGATGATTTTGATTCTGACGAGTTTGAAAAGATGATGGAGAATGATGATGATGATGTATTGTCAAATGATGAGAGTGATGAAAATGATGATGATAGTGAAAATGAAGAAATAGATGATAATAGTGATCAATCAGAAGATAAAGTCGTAAAACAGGGATCAAAAGGAAATAAAAAGTGAGTTTATTTTATTTTAAAAATATATAATAAGTAGGCAATCAAATATTTAGTAGTCTTACAAAATATGTAATTACTTATAATATTATTGAGCTTATAAGGTTACACATAAATATTAAATTTTATTTTTACAGGCCTCAACCCAAAAATTCACTAAAAAAGACAACTTTGACTACGCTAGCAAAAAATGTAGCACAAGAAAAAGCTACTATTGTCACTAGACAAACGAAGAAAAGGACAAATGTACAAAGTAAGCATGATCTTTTGTGTGTATAATTTTGACTGTGTGTGATATGAAGTTTGAATGTCGGTTCGGGTGAAGTATACCTATTGGGCTTTGTCTTTTGATTTGACAGTTACTGACAATATAAAATTGGGATATGATGCCTTGGAGATGCATGTAAAGCCATTGGTCCTGTTGTATTGTCATTTGTGCACAAACAATCTTGAATATCTCCTGCAGATCTAATATAATTAAACGAGCGATTCTCGTATATTTATTTTTATCGGGGATCTCGGAAACGGCTCTAACAATTTCGCTGTTTGGTATGTGGGGGTTTTCATGGGCGACAAATCGATCTAGTTTAGTCTTATGTCTGGGAAAACGCGTGTTTTCCATTTTTCATGTGGTTTTCTTTCGCATTATTACACGCAAAATATTGTCGTTAAATAAGCACGCTCGGGCATAAGATTGCGCCTTAACCGCTTGATCACGAATCTATACAGTTCACATTTTTATTTAAATGAAATTTTTTTCATACCACTTCAATTTTTTACTATTAGATTAATTAATAATTGCTATTTTTTATATTTTCAGGTACAACAGTGGCACAGAAGAAAGCAAAATTTGAAAAACAAAAAAAGAAGCCATTAAAAAATGTAGTTAAAAAGAAAAAATAGTTACAAACATTTACATCAAGAAGTATTTTATGAAATATTTTTTAAAGAGAAGATTAAATACAACTTCAAAAAGAATGACTTACTGTATAACGTATTTTGTTTATGTTGTTAATAATTGTACAATTAAAACCGTATTTTCTCTTTACTTTGTTATATTTTTTCCTATCCATACTAATACTATAAATGTGAAAGTGTGTTTGTTTGTCCTTCTTTCACGTCGAAACGGAGTGATGGATTGGCGTGATTTTTTGTGTGGAGATAGTTGGAGGACTGGAGATTGACATAGGCTACTTTTTATCGAGGGAGATTATCTATATCCCACGGGAAAACACTATACAATACAATCAAAAAAAATATGAATAGAATTACTTGAAACTTGGTATTAAATGCTCTTCAATAAAATAAATAAGTACGTGTTTTAGCATTTTTTGAAATTGATCCTATAAGGGGGTAAAATAGGGGATGAAAGTTTATATGAAACTACCATTTTAGGATCTTTTTTGTTGATATAGTGCGAGCGAAGCCGGAGGTTCTACTAATAACATAAATATTCGCCTTTCAACACCCAAAGTGTGATCTGAACTCAACATCATATTGCCATATGTCATGTATTTTAAATGATGTGTAAAAAGTATTACAAAATCATGACTACAGAAAGATCTTCATAAACAGTGCACTACATGCTGCATAGAATAACTCTTGACTTCATAGTTTGAGTCACATTCATTTATTGGTATGGCTTATGACAAAAATATAAGTTTTTTTTAACTCCTACTGCCTTTATCATTGATTGAACTCTGTAAATGTATTATAATTCATTTTATATTTAATAAATTTAATAATATAATATATATATTTTTATTATAAATAATGAAAAAAGGAATTGTGAATAAAATATTTATTCATTTTTAATCTAATTTAACTATTACAGGTCTCTCATCTTCATCATCAGTGTCTAGTTCAGTGAAGTCCCATTGAAGTTTTTCTGTCAAATTTTCTTTAAACCTTTCAATCATTGTTAAAAGCCTACCATCAACTTTACTCATATATGCTGTGCGGAAAAAATCTCGTAATTTTTTGTAAACTAAATTCCTATTCATTACAATATCTGCTAGAAATTCTTCTGGCATTTCATCAATTTGAGTTTCTACAGTCCTGATAAAGTGAAAGAAGACACTTCTATATTTGTGTATGGCTTCTTCGCAAGAACACATTAATATTACTAAATTTTTCCAGTGTTCAAAGGCTTCAAGAGAATGTCCGATTAAAAAGCATAAATATGCAAATTGTAGCTCGCCAATAATGTGAAGAGGCCTGAAAGTTGTCAATATGTGGTTTAATTATTATGTAATTACATAGTGTAATGTTTCAGTTTGATGCTTTGTGCGACATAACTGTAGTTAAAACAAGTTACATTTCAGTATATTACTGAAACTGGTGGCATTAGATAGAAACAGGGAAAAAACTAGTTATTCTTTACTGTCAGAGGTTTTATTTACTACAACACCACCATTAAATAAACTTTAATTTAAAAAGGTATTTGTGGAATTATTTAAAACCCATATAATTTTTTTAGTTGAAAAAAAAAATGAAATTTAGTCATTGAGAAAAGTATAGATCATATATGAAAATACATATTGTTATTGCTAGTACTTACTCATCATGTTGAGCAATCATCATTTCTAAGGTATAAGACTGATCTAAGTAATGCTTTGTAATTTCATCTGGTTTTGAACCTGGTGGATGTTTATCCCGTGGTATTTCAGTAAATCTTAGGGATGCTCCTGAAAATTTCAATTTTATATTAATTATTTCACAAATAAACACTTGATCTATCACATGGTCAAAGCAAAATTTGAAATGGAAAATATGAAGAAAATGATTTATTACATAATTAATAATATAATAAGGTAATTGCAGGTAAAAGTAATTTATTTATTATTTATATTATATAATAATTTGAATTTTGAAAATACCTGGTACAGGTTTTAAATCTGGCAACATTGCATCTTCTTTCTCAGCTTGTGTTATTCTTTTGGACCGCTTAGCATCAGATTGACCAGAAGTTGATTCTTCTATGACTTCATTTGATTCTATATTAGATTCTTGAGATGAACTTGGTTTTACCCCTCGAGGTCTGTCTTCATCACTCATTGATAGTAATTCCACTGATGCTCTGATCAAACCACTTTCTGGTGATAGTTTTTGTGCCAGTTCAGCTTAAGGAAATTGATAGTTTAGTTTTAGATATATTCTTATAAAAATCCTATAAAAACACATTATTTTGTAAATACTTAATATAATATCTCATTGGAATTATACCTGTTATTTGAGATGACAGAAGTTTCCACTTTTGCCATATTTCATATGGATATGGAGCAAGGTGCCGGTCTAAATTTAATAGATTGTCTTTTAGTCGTTGAATACTTTCTTCACTAATTTCATCTTTACTTATGTCTTCTAAACTTTTATCCCAAATTTTAACCAAAAATTCTTTTTTTTGAAAAAAGTACATAAATCCTGACCTATAGGGAAGAATACATTAAAATTGAATTATAGCTATTGTGTGAAAATAAATTTGATTGCAAAGTTTGAGTATTTTCGAGGACAAAAAGTTTGGTTTCAAATATTAATTTTCAAGTTTTATTACCTAGGTGAAACATCGCCAGTTCCTTTACTCACAGCAGAATAGTGTACGTAGTGTAGACCCGGTGGAATCATTTTTATTCCGCGAAAATCTTCTTCAGTATTCCAGCATTGCATATCAATACCGAATTGGGTCTCTTGGGGCACCCCGAGGAACACAAATGTACCGCCTTCAACAAGGAGCTTTTTAGCAGTATCCTGATCCATTACGTGGTTTCGTTGTTAGCTATAAAATAGAAAATATGAACTTAAATATGTGTTTACATCAATTTACGATTAATTACTTGTTGACAGATTAGTATTTACTTAGTAGTGACATTTTAAGGTCTGAACTCTGAATGTCAAATTGAGTAGACGCTACGTTGAACAAGTTGAAATAAAATAATTACTTCTAAAAAATATTACCTGAAAATTAAAAGAAAACTTTTTTATAAGGAATGAACAAAAAAATCAAATATTTTCACAATATTTATACCTATGTTATTTAAAATAACGGTTATATCGTAAAACGAAACGCTAAATTAGTTAAGGACCTTTTCGCACATAAGCGGACTTCGTATTCGTTATCCGTGAAGGTTTAATATTACAGGCATTAAAATATGCAAATTTCGACACAGCATACGATATTGTGACCGTTCTGTTAACATGATGTAGCCGTGCAATCGACACGGACGGGCTTCACTGCGGCAGCCGCTTGTATAACACCGTTTTCATACTCGTCTCAGATTTTATATTTGCAAATCAGATTAGGTAATATAATTTTAGATAGTATTTATTTTAACTATATATTTTTTTAGAAAATATTACGTTTTACGATTAAGAGACATATATGATTACCTAATGTTTATAACATGTTTATGTAAAAATACATTTTATGTATGAATATAAATTTCCCTTCGAATATTTATTAGCTTTTCTGAGAATACATAAATTGTAAACGTGTAAAATTAACTGTACGTATGTAGCAAACCTGTAGGGTTCGTGTGAAAGATCCCTGTCTGTGGAAATGTTCGACATTTTTACGGAAACTGTGTACGAGTATGTGTGAAAAGGGCCGGGATAAACGAACTTTACCTTCCTACATTTTTAAAATCAAATTAAGGTTTTTTCTATTTTTATATCGTACCTATTTCTATGTTGTTAAACTCATACAATTTAAAAAGCGTTTCTATATTTTAGCATTTACTTCTATGTCAGTAGATTATTAAATATACAGGGTGGAACAAATCGATGGGATATGAAAGAAAAGTATCTTAAATATTGAAGTTATCAAGATTTACTCAAAGGAAACATTTCTTTATTTTAAAAAATAATAATAACTGCATTCAATTTAAAAAAAAGCTTACCTGAGCCAGGAATCGAACCAAATAAAAATGCAAAACGGTCACCATCACTATTTTATCGAATTAATCGATATGGTCTATGGTAAGGATAAAATCTCGAACATACATATATCTTGAAATATACCGAAACCATAAATAAGAAAGATTTTAACTTCAATATCTACTTGTTTTTTTTTCAGACGTATATGCACACTCGTCTATACGTATCTGTCTGTACATATAGTGTAATTACATTCAATTTGAATTTCCCACCAAAATTCGTCTGGAATTTTACAAGTTCCCGTTGGAGTGGTTAACACAGCCTGCTGTTAACTACACCACCTGATTTTTTGTTTTAGTGCAGATTTTTTTGCCTAATTATTTTTCAACAGGTGACGAATTCCCGTCTCGAGCACCACTACAGCCAGACGGTAGCGGCAATCAGAAATAGCGTTTTAGTTATCGTTCGCAATTAGTAGATGTTATGAATTAAGTTGTATGCAATGCTAATAAATTTTCAAATGAATGTGAATACATCATTGAAGGAATGTTAGACAAGTGTAAAACAAAGTGTGCTTTATGGAAGTTAAAAGCTTAGATTGATTATTTTTATAAGGTAAATTTTATTTACTATTATTATAAAAAAACTTTTGTAAAACAAAAAGAATGAAAGCTAGAACAAAATTGAATTGATTCAGTCTTATCATTTTAAAATATTACACGTATGACCGAAAAGAGCTTGATTTTCTGATTTTTGATATGGCTGACGAATAGAGTCTCGGCAATGTACACTTGGGAAATTAGGATGTAAATTTTCATTCACCGTTCCCGCGAACCTCTATACGGGAATTCTTTGTTTTCATCGGAAATTTAAGAACAGAAAGTCGCTTGGGACTGAAATATATGTGGCTATATATGAAAAAACTTATGGAGTAATATACTTTTTTCGATATCAATACATTCATTATTTAAGGGAAAATGTAAAGATATGTATGTAATATGTACCTAGGTGGTATTTTTGAGTACCTATTTGTCTATGACTGAAAGTTTGAACCATAGTAGAAGTATACCTATGAAATATATATATATATATCATATATATATATATATATATATATATATATATATATATATATATATATATATATTTTATTTTATTTATTTAGAAAATCTTTACAAGATTTGCTTTCTGTATATTTTACATAATACCTTTTCGATTTTACTTATCTAGGATGGCTGATTGGTTACTGATGTTAATTTATTGTCTTGTTATTTATTGTATCGTTTTCAATGAAGATGTTATTAAAACATTGTCTTCATTGTATCCTGAAATGTGTTTTATTTGCATGATACATGTTCTGTTTAGAACTTATCAAGGGTGTTTGTATGGAAACTATAGACTAACTAGTTGCATCGGTGTTCTCATGGAGTTAGGAAAACTTTTAATAGTGTTTATGTCCCCAAAGAGCATGGAGCGTGCCGTCGAAGTACATCAACTGTGCACCGGTTATCTTAGAAGTTATTACACAAATACTATCGCGCAGCGCCTTGAAGAAATCTCAACAGGGTTCTATATCTTCCAACTTTTCTAATAACTTTTGGCTTGGTTTTTGTGAAGAAAGTAGTAAAAACTATAGCCATAAACTTGTGAGTAACTAGTTAAGGGAATAATTCTTGGGTATTTACCTTATAATGTGAACTAAACTTTAAATATTTTACACGTTTCGACGCAAATTCCTTATATAAAGTACCTTAAAAAAATACTGTAGGTACTTCATATTACGAATCTGGTGATACGAAATTGCAATAATTCTTAAACAATCTTGTAGTTTATCTCTTAAATTATAGCCTTTTATTTGGTGTGATCAGTTTTATAGAGAGTTTTATAGTAATATTATATTTAAATATTGAATTTTATAGAGAACTAGCGACTCACTCTCGCTTCGATCGGGTTCGTGCTTAGGTTGCTTCCCCATATAAATTTTCAGCCTCATTTTCACCCCCTTAAGGGATGATTTCCGAGATAAAAAATATTCTATACCCTTCCCAGATTCTCAAACTATCTTCTTACCAAATTTCTTCTAAATCGAAATCCAGAAGTTTCGAAGCCTATTCGGTATAAACAAACAAAAACCAAAATTTTCCTCTTTATAATATTAGAATAGATAAGCTTTTCAAAAAAATATTTAATGTACAGATTTGGCTCAGTTAGAATTTATTATATGAATATATAAAGCGTTGTTGTACGTAGAAACATAAAATAGCTAATTATACTTCTTCTCCGCGCACTAGCAGACTCTACGGTACTTGTTTGTGCTTTTGCGTGCGTGCGTTAGGTATACCACCTGTATCCTCGACTAACTAAACTATCCGCCTATAGTTTATCACATCTGCATCTTGGTAAAGGTTCATTTCTTATTGTCAACCTAACAGTAACAAACTCTTATGTTAATTAGACATTATTTAATAACAAAATTGATTAATAAACAATCGCCACCAATTATTAATATTTTTTTCTAATTATGTAAACATTTTCGATACCTCTGTTTGAATTTTTTATACTTATCTAAAATTTTTATAATGTTTGGATAAATATAAATAAATTTAAACACAGAGATAAAAGTTTCAACAAATTAAGACCGATAAAGGTTGCCACGAATTAAGAAGCTAAAGTGCACGCAAAAAAATAAGTAAAAAATTTAAGTACGTGGTTTTCAACCCGTGCAGCAGCTTAGAATGATCTCGTAAGACTCGAGAGAATCTGCCTTGTGAAACGCCACTTTAAATGTCGTTTAGAATACTTATTCTGTGGTAAGGAGTTAAAAATTATTTATTTGTCTTTAAACTATTTTACAGTTAAATTTGTTATGCACTGTGACGTTCTCAGTCTTAAAAATCATTGATAGTATCTTATACCTATATACAACAATAGTTACAATAATATGTCATTACTTATTATAAAAATATACTTAAATTATGTTGATCCTGGATTTTCCATTCGAAATCCAAACCACAATAATTTACTATTGTACTATTTAGAAATAAATCTGGTAACATTTATAGAAAAATCTTTAAGTTGAGAACTAAATTGCATCATTTATTTCTTCAGACTTAATCCATCTTTGTGGACTTTGTAGCAAATTGGTTTCAAAGCAGTCAATTAGACTTTATGCAGCTATCTGGCAATGTTAAACAAGCGTAGTTTGTTTATTTCCGATTTCTTCTCCCCTAATCCGCCGCCGGTCCTGCAGTTATTGTTTCTGTTATTGGCGCGGAGAAAATTGAATTTGTCCACAATCCACCGGATTGCAATGTGGCTAGAGGATCCAAACCAAAACAAACATTCAATTTTCCAATCCAGTTTTAGACTAGCGCTGTTGTGGGCACGATCGCAACAATGCAAGAGGTGTAAACTACGATACGCGAATTAACAGTAACGGAACGTGGATTATGAAATGACTGGTTTGTTCAGTTTTGATCTGTTTAAACGATGCTATTGATTTAAAGTACTACATATTAAATTTAGAAATGAGATGCGATCAAAGCTATTAGTCGAACCTTCTTTTGGAAAATCTTGTTTGAGAAATTTATGGAAAGAAACAGAAGCTACATAAATCAAACTTCTTAAGATTTATTGGAATAGAATATATCGACTCTGGTCTGGTCACCAGTCATTGTTATACGTTTCGTGGTTTGTTTAAATAGGATTACAAACGCGAACGAAGCTGCTAGCAATAAGTAAGTAGATTAGAAATATGAATAGTGGATATTTTTGCTTGACATTTGTAACTTACCCTCTATCATTACCATTTGTTGGTTGTTTTTATACGAATGCCGTAATGATGCATTCGAATATTGTTTCATTATTTGTATATTAATTAAGTA